CATGTCCACCGCTGATGATATTAGACTTCTGTTTTCAATAGTGATTTGAACACTTTAATATAGGAAGTCCTCGGCTATGCAGAGATCATTATTCATCAGGAATCTAGTGCACATAGTTTAACATTAGGAAATGCAGTCTTGAACTTACAGTCGGCAAGTGCCAAAGAACAGATGTAAGACACTGATCAGATGTAGTGTTCAGTCACGCTCATGTCAGTCATATTCAGCTCGTTTAGTGTCTTCATTCATGTTTGATTTGCGTCTTCAACACAAGATTTAATTACAGCACATTTTAAACAGAATAGTTTGACTAACTCGTTTCTAATGTCTACTGTTTTCTCCTCGTCATGCTGACAGTCAGTGCAGAACATTCACCAGTTATTTTGCAGGACAGTTGTGTTCAGACAAACTGCCTTCAAGTATCTTATAGTCTTTTATTAATATTAAAGTGTAATTTAGACTTAATCAGTTAACTACGAAAGTTCAAATAATCAGTCAAATGATTTCGTAACTGATTTGTTGTGTAAATCAAAAATACACAGGGGAGATTATTTAGAGTTGAAGTTCTTTAATGATCTTGTTTATGAAGACTGCAGAGTGATGCATGAAAACAAATCACTTCCAATAATGTGTTTTGTGATGTATATGTTAAAATGTGCTGTTAAATGTACGTGTCCCCCGTCTGACCCCCCCCCCCCACAGGTTAATAGTGAGCTAATGCAATAGATTTCATAATGCAAATCTTAAATTCATGCTGATCAACAGATGATCAAAGGAAATGTATTCATGTAACACAATATGAGTTGATGTTTACTTATATTCTTCTATTAAAATGATTTTTTAAAAGAGTTTGTCGAATGAAATGTTTTTGTAGAGGTATCTACCATCATTTTCGGGCTAAAAGGTATCTGTTCAGGCACCGTTTTGGCACCGGTACCGTTTTAAAAGTATCGATTTAGCAACGATATTTGAAAAACCCAAACGATACCCAACCCTACTTCTGCAGCTCCTTCCCTGTGTGAACTACAGCCGAGTGCAGGGTCTCCTGGGTGGACAGCGGGGGACTTTAATAGCGCTTATACGCGGTGCTGAAGTCTCGCTTGAGATGATCTCTGGAAGTGTGTCATTAAGAATGAAGCAGACGAGAGCAGGAGTCATTGAGGTTCACGGAGCTGTAAGGCCGATGTCTAGCTGATGAAAGTAAATCCATATGATGATGAGAATGACGATAGTTTACTGTAGTGAAGGCTGAAGTATACTGTGGTAATTAATATTAGTTGATGATAGTTACTAATTATACTACATTATGTAGTGTTATTCATGAATGAAGAGCTGTAGATATGTAATACAGTGTAATGCTCACTGCTGAATATTCCTCTTCACTGTACATGACTGCTGTATTTTAATGTGTATCAGCTGCTATTATAAGATGTTTAGTTTTAGCTGTAATATAGTTTAATGAGTTTCTGTTCAGCAGATTATTGCAGTGAATAACTGAACTGAACTGAACTGTTCTGCCTCATGTGTCTCACTGACCGTTTATTGATCACTCACATCTGATTGACTTGGATTTAAGTTGCTTCAATTTAAAAATGAAAATTGTAAAAATAGCTCAGATGTTGCTACGCTACTTTTGCCATGCGGCTTTTAGCTTAGCTTGCTGCATTTCCCAGAGGGCAGCATATAGTGCAGTCAAGCTACATTTAAAGTAGACGAGCTAAGAGCGTAAGTCACTACATTTCTCAAGTAGCTTGTCAACACTGTGTGTGTGTGTGTGTGTGTGTGTGCGTGTGTGTGCGTGTGTGTGTGTGTGTGTGTGTGTTTGTGTGTGTGCGTGCGCATGCGTGTGTGTGTGTGTGTGTGTGTGTGTGTGTTTATACAGACAGTCCCCTCCTCCAGTTATATAAAACCCATCATCAGTTAGTGTTATTGACCTGTGATCTCCTGTAATAGTGATTTTAGCGCCTCCTGGTGGTGAATGCGGTTATACTCATGGCAGTTTGGTCATTTATTTCATTAATCTGTCAACCATCAAACATGGTCAGGAAACCGGCTGGAATATCCGCTCAGTAAACCCCTTTAGGGTTTGAGACGACACTACATATATACACCCCGAGTGTGTAAGTGCACGAGTACAAGTGCATGAGTGTGTAGTGTGTTCTGTCCTCCAGCATGATCACATGACTAAAGTCATCAACGTTTCCCAGAGCTCTGTCTCACCGTCCACACTGAACACCCAAACAGTGCTACACACACACACACACACACACACACGCACATACATACACACACATACATACACACACACACACACACACACTCACACACACACTCACACACACACTCACACACACACACACACACACACACTCACACACACAAACACACACACACACACACTCACACACACACTCACACACACACACACACACACACACACACTCACACACACAAACACACACACACACACACACACACACACTCACACACACACTCACAC